CAAGTCATCTTATAAATAATTTAAAAAAAGAAATAAAAAATGATGCATACAAAATCAAAATGTCAAGAAAAACCAAACTAAATTTAAAAAGAAGTCATGAATGAAAAGGAGCAGAAAGAAGTATGAACTTGTAAAATCAACCACCAACTCAAAAGTTTACCATCGGCATACGGTGAAAGTAACCAAACACACAAAACTACAACAAAACAATACTTTAGACAATATTATAATGCTTCATCATAGTAATTTTCTAGTTTTTTTTAAATACTAAAAACAAGATTTTGACTTATTTATCTCTCTGTCAAAACCGTTCCACAATGGTTATGGTTTATAACCGATATTTACAGATATTACACAAATACACAGATTATTTGTATATATTATTACACAAACAAACATGCACATTAGGGGTGCAACAATCCATGTGTCTGTATGAATAATACAGATTTTTAACATTTATTTTATCAACTTGTCTTCTGAAGATGCTCTGTGTTGAAGGATCAGTGGATCTGTGTTCGACTACTCCACCTAGGCTGCACTGTGGAGCTCAGATCCACTGAGAAACTTGCTGTTTCAGCAACATTTAATTTAAAAACTGTACTTTTGAAGTTAAACAAATGTTCATAATTAATTTAAATTAGTTACAAGTTAAGAAGGGCATGAAAATTTATCTTTTTTTGTATTGAAAAAGTATAAACTGTGAGTCTAACAGCATCACTATCATGATCAAACATATAACGGTTTCCCCTCTTGAAACAGAAACACAAACAGCAACAACAGGAAATCATTATCRGACGTTAATATTGTCCCAGTTTTAATTTTTGAACTGATACAGATATTAATGCCRATATATCGTTCATCGCTAATTTTATTGCCAAAGGATGGTTAGAGCTTTATATTTATACCATAATGCCTCAATGAAACATGCAAATAAAGTATTTTCCTCTGAGCTACGCTACATGAYGATAAGCCTGTGTATTGCAAGAATTTGGTGTTCTGATTAGGGCTGCACGATGTCAAGAAAACCTGCGATGTGCAATAACAGTCTCAGGACACTGTASATAAAAAGAACAATGTAAAGAAGAAAGCAGCAGRTTGTGTTGAATCACTTCATCACAGTCTCCCATCCTGAGCAAACGGTGGAGAGGAAAAACTCCCTGCTAATCAGGAAGAAACCTCCAGCAGRACCAGGCTCAGGACAGGCGGCCACACCATGCATTACTAAAAATAAAGTGCTTTTCAGAATCAGTACAGTATCAGGAAGTAAAATATTGCAATATTTCAGTGCATTGATGTTTTCTTCCTTCCTTACATGACTTGAATAATCACTGAGGTAACAAACTGAGATTTCTTTAGGAGTCTTGATGATAAAGCTTAAACACAAACACAAACTGAAGTCGTTCTTGAATAAACACATATAACTCTCATCGCCTTGCATGTCAAAACCCTCTGGTGCAGTCTGCTCTGAGTAGGTGTTGCTGATTTAAAGATGCAACAAGGAATGTGCAATTTAAGCATAAACACCTAAATAAACACTGTCACTTTGAGTTAATCTGGTAATTATTCAGTTTTCCAACATATTAACTCCATCAGTCATAAGATTTGAATCATCCTGTCAGCAGCTGTTGTTAAATTGAAAGCAGTTTTTGTTATTTGTGGACTCACTACTCTTCACCTGTTAGATAATGGACTTAGTTTTTTACCGTGGCCCCCCTCTTGGTCAGGTTTTCCATGACTCATTGACACCTGCTAATAAAACTCAGTCTGTGTCCGGATAAGAGAAGCACGTGTTGTCAGGAGAAGTTTGAGTTTTGATCAGGTTTATTCGACTCTTTGTGGAGTTTGTTTTAAAAAAACGTTTTTCAGGCTCAGTTTGTCTCAAGCTTCGAATTTCTTCCTGTTCATTGTGAAGCAAAGATCCATTAAAACGGATAATTTCTCCTCTCAAAATAGAAAGTTTAATTTGGGACCCAGTGATGTTTAATTTGTGCTCTATTGTTCTAATTGATCCTGGGAGCGTGTGTTTGGCATCGCCGGTTTATCGGCCTATTTTTCATCTGGTTTTCTGCTCTTTTATTGTGGTTTGTTTTTCAAGTGTTTTTGTAAGTTTTTATAGAGCTTCCCTGAAGGGTTTTCCTACCAAACACCGACGAGGCAATAAAGCATCAAAGGAGCAAACATTTAGCTGTTTGTTGCACCAGATCCTGATAACCTTACATGATGTTTTTTTATGCAAAGCGATCGTCTCTGCAGCGTTAAAGTGTGTTTTAATGTTTTCACAGTCKGTTGTGTGTGGATACGACGGGCTGTAGGGTGTGGGAAACCAGTTGTAGCTTTGGTATTTAGGCTAACGTGTTTCTTTACAGTCTTACACAAACAGAATTCAGCATTGTTATATTGCACCCATATGTTTCCCAGCCTTTCCCGGCTTTCTCAGCCTGATTGCCAAGGCACATCTGGTCCTAATAAGGTGTGTGTGTGATTGTGTGTGTGTGAGACTGTGCCTTCACTGTTCAGCCTTCCAGCCTGGCCTTCTGCACACAGGCACTGTTGAGTCTTTTACAACCCAGATCACAAAGGCTATACTTTAAACTTGTGTATAATGGTGTGTGTGCTCCTGGGTGTAGTGGTTATCAACTCCTATCTTATATTTTGTCTGCTCGTGCTTCAAGGCCTGATAATCTTTGAAAACAGTGCTGATTTTCCAGCTTTGATGCTGATAGCAGGGATGCTTCGGCGTAACTCCTGTCCGTGGGAAAAAGATTAAACCGAAACGGTCATCAGCAGCTCGCCAGGAGCCACCTGAAATCATTCATAACCGTTAAATCAGGGTTCCTGTAAATCCTTAAAAAGTCTTAAAAGGCATTGAATTCATCAATTCAAAACTAAGGCCTTAATTAGCCTTAAAATGTCTTAAATGAATCTTTCAGAGGTCTTTCGTGCCTTTAAAAAGCTTTTCATCAATAAAATGCAGCGTTAAAGGTGAGACGTTTGACCCAGAGCTGTTACTGTCTCACCTGAACAGGGTTTGCCTTTCCAGAGTGGGCCTACAAGCCGGAGTCCAGCCCGGGCTCCAGGCAGATCCAGCTGTGGCACTTCATCCTGGAGCTGCTGAGGAAGCAGGAGTACAACGACGTCATCGCCTGGCAGGGGGACTACGGCGAGTTCGTCATCAAGGACCCGGACGAGGTGGCCCGGCTGTGGGGGGCCAGGAAGTGCAAGCCGCAGATGAACTACGACAAGCTCAGCCGAGCGCTGAGGTGAGGCTTAAAGACTGGACGCTCCGATTTCTGCTCCTGATTCTGCACTTTTTAAATCATTTTAGGAAAAACACGTAAAGTTTTCCCTCCATCTTCTTCTAAATGTTACTGTTAAAAACATGGAAGATGTCACAGATCAAACAGACACTAAACTCAAACAAGCTCATAAATGCAGTGGTGGACACAGTTCCCCTAAAGCACTAAAGCACTAATCAGGGGTACTGATTTCCTGATTAGTGCTTTAGGGCTTTTGCTAATTTCTGAATTCGTTAGTGGATTAGCACTTGCTAAATTTATGAGCACTAATTGAGTTCTTTAACTGTTATTGATCAACATTATTGTGAAGAGCTGAGGGTGAAAGCTGTCAGACGTGTTCGTCACTTCTTCACTAAATCAGTGCTTTTCAAACTGTTGTGCTACCGACCCACAAAATAACAGCTGCAGACACTCGTGACCCTATTTATTAGTTGTTTACGTAGCAAACTTTGCTAATAACTCTGTTAAACATGGCAATAACTATAAACAAACCTAACTATGACACTATTTTTTATTAATTTATGATTATTTTAAAAATTGCAACAATCATTGTGAAAATATCCCATTAACATTTTTTTTCTCATTTAAATTGACATCTGGAAATCACCTGGGGACCCTCACTTGAGGCTTTGTGGTCCACAAAGGGGTCTCGACCACAACTTTGGGAACCCCTACACTAGATGAAATATTAATATTCTGCACAGAAAATATTCTCATGTTGACTCTGAGGTTTGTTCCATGGGTCAGCTGGGTTTTTAGTGCTTTAGAATGAGCTTTTGCTAAATTTTTAAGTGTGTTAGTGCTTTAGAATTAGGGGACCTAAATATTAAAGTTAGCGCTTTAGGGTTAGTGTAACTAATTTTTAGATTAGTGCTGCCCACCACTGAATATTTATAAATAAATTAGTTTTCAAGCCCTTTATTTCGGGCTGTGAGCACTTCTGAACTCTTAATTCTTCAGATTGGTTTGTGAGTTTGTTGTTAATCAGCTGTGTTGCATAAGTAACCAAACMGTTCATGTGCTCCGAGCTAAAACTCCAGGGCGACGGCCAATTTAGAAGCGCACACCTTCACCCACTGCGGAGCAACATGTGGGATGCTGCGGAGTTTTATTTAGCCACCAGTATGTTCTCATCCTTGTTTACACAATCTCCAACACACGAACACACGCACACATCTAGGAGTCGTCGTTGCCTCCCGTGTTGTAGTTACGCCGCCTCGTCACCACAAACACACACACACAGAGTGATGCAAACATGCCCACACACACATGAAACCGCTCAACACCTTGGTTGTGTGTCAGCTCGCCTCCAGCCCATCTGTCCTGTCGGCTGTGACTTTTTCCTCCTGAAAAAAACAGGAATTTAATTTAATTTATTTTATTTTCAGCTCAGATTTATCAACAAAATGCAGTCGTTTTATGTCAAAGTTTAATTAAAGTATAAATTTAAAGAAACTAGCTGTTAAAAAAGCAGAACGATAGCTAAAAAAAACAAAAAGCTACAAGAAACAAAGGATGTATAGATGCTAAATGTAGCAGAGGGCGAGCTAAAAGCTAAACATGGATGGCCATCTAAAAAGCTATCTAGGACTAAAAGTTATAAAGTCTGGCTAGAAGCTAAAAGTAGTGAAAGCTGGCTAGAAGCTAAATTATGCAACAGACAGGCTAGAAGCTAAAGAAGCAACCAAGATGGCGGCGGTGGCAGATGTATGTAGGTGTAAAGTATCGCTGCAGGAAAATACATCCCATTTGGCTTTACAGGCATCTGCAGGTCTGTTTTTGACCAAATTTACCTCAGCTTTAGTGTTGCTGTTACTCTGTATGCTACATAAATGGAAGATCAAAGACGCAAATGACGGACATCATTTTGAAAAACAACAGCACACAAGCATCCTATGGCGTGTAAACAAGCAAGTTATCCTAACTTTGGTAAATATCATCTTGCCTGTTGGGCTGGTTTCTCCGGCTTGCTGCTGTTGCGGCGTGTCTCGGTGGAGTGGCGGATGTGGATGGAGTCCCTCGGCCCTC